GAGGTAGGCCTCCAGGTAATAATATTAGTAATAAGAATAAAATAGTTCCTAGTATTTGTTATATACTTCTTTCATGACCACAGCAACCCTGTAAACTTCTTGAGTGCAGAGACTATAGATTTTCTAAAGTTGATTCCTTCCCCTTCCCCCATTCAGCCTTTACTCCCATCACTTAGTACTGTGTCCTGAGTATATAGATGTTTAATACGGTTTTGCTCTTGTTAGTAAAAACATCTTTTTGAAGTAGTTCTCTTTTTTTATTGTTACCTGGTTGGGAAAGTAGTAGTATAACACGAATAATAAGGTGTTATGGTCTCCTAATAGTCTTTTTCCCTTGTCTATACAACTTCCCTGTTTTCTTTCTTCATTGTTGTCTCTTCTCTGTGCTCCAGTCATAGAGTCAGTATGTTCTTTGTTCCCTTTTCTTAGTAGTCCTGTTTCTACGCCCATATATTAGGGACATCCTCCCAACTCTAGAAAATTTGCTTCAATGAGGGTAAGCAGTGAGATGGATGTTTAACATTGTTGGGCCAGGGGATGGGTGGTATAGTGAAAAGATCACTGAATTCAGAAGCCCTAAGTTCTAGTTTTGGTTCCACTACTAACTTGATATACGACTTTAGGTAAGTTATTTCATTTCTATGTTACCCCCATTTAAACAGTGGAGATAATAATGCTTGCCCAATTCACTCCATAGGGCAGAAACTATTTTACTTTTGTTTATGTATAACCAGCCTACCATAATACTTGACATATAATAGGTAGCTTAATAAATGCTTGTTGATAGGGTTGTGCAAATAAATTGAGATTATGTGAGATCAGTTTGAAAAATTATTAAAGCAATATACAAATGAATGATGTTGGTATTATTGCCAAACTAATGCTACTCTTCTTGCATCCATATAGAATAACCTTGCAGACATATTCATTTGTAAACCCTCAATAAAATTAAATAGCTAAAATTTCTTTAAAAGAAAAGTTGTATGTATATGCCGTCATTTTTATATCTAAATTTCTATATCAGGAATATTTCAGTTCAACATCTTACATTTGGTGGATGCTTTATCTTAAAACAGCCAGTTTCATTGTCTACTTGCCCGTGTGCTACATAATTGAGAATAGATTGAGGTGGCCTTGATTTATTTTTTGCCTAAACATTTGTTTTTCTGTAGGTGAATACAGCAGTTCAGTTAATTTTAGTGGCAGCTTCTTTGGCAGCTCCAGTTTTCAATTATGTTGACAGCATTTATCTTCAGATACTTTGGTAAGGTAAAATTTTAATTTATCACTCTGAGAAATTTAATGTTACTGTCTTGGTAGTTTTAAAAATTATTTCTTCTTTATCAACAGTATTGATAATAATCTGTAGCATTGAAAATGTACCAACCTTATAAGTACTAAGTGTTGTAGCTTGGGATATTTATGTATACTTTGCAATTGCGTGAAATTTTTTTAAAGAACACAGCTTGTATCAACAGATCATTTTCCTGCAAATAATCTCTCATACTATTTTCCTTGAGAAATAAGTTAATCAAGACTGCCTGTACACTGATTATACATTCCTGTTTTGTTTTCTGCTATTTGTTAAGAGAAAGTAAAGATGTGTGCTTGAACCTTGATAATTTGAAACTAGCATTAATATATTTTATTTAAACTGAATTCCATTTCCTTTTAATGTTTTCTTCATTTGCATTATTATGCAAGTACTATTTGTGTCACTCTTTTGGTTTTGCTTTATTATGCATCATTTGTACAAATGTGAAGTTACTAATTGGGGCAGCTATGTGGTGCGGTAGATAGAATGCTGGGCCTGGAATCAAGAAGACCTGAGTTCAAATCCAGCCTCAGATACTGACATGTTGTGTGAGCTAGGGGCAAGTCACTTAATCCTATTTGCCTCAGTTTTCTTATCTGTAAAATGAGCTGAAGAAGGAAATGGCAAACCACTCCAGTATCTGTGCCAAGAAAACTCCAAAAAGGGGTCACAAAGAGTCAGACATAACTGAAAACTACCAAACAACAACAACAAGTTATTACTGATTGCCATACAATTCTCAAAGTCATCCATTCCATCTTTCAAATATTTGAATGTGTTTGATGCTTACAACACAAATCTTTTTTTTTTTTTGATGGTTGAAAGATCAGTTGACTTTTGGAAAATTTTTTCAAATGTCTTTTGAAAATTATGCTTACAAAACTTTAGCTAAACTTTATGTAACTGATGGCAAATTTTAACATTTTATTACCTCATGGCTCATATAATATGGAAAAAGGAAGTTTAGTATGAGGCAGCTATATTTTTAAAAAATTGTTATAACTTGTATTTCTTTTTTCTTCTTACTTCCCCTACAACAAAAGGTGTTTTACAGCTTTCACCACAACTGCATCAGCCTACAGTTATTATCATTATGGCCGGAAAACAGTCCAGGTGATAAAAGGCAAATAAATGTCATCTCTCATTATTAGCTGGGAAGCAGTAAGACATCTACATCAGAACTAGCTGGTAATCTACAGGAGTCTCCCTTTTTTGTTAGTTTGGAAAAGACTTTTATCAAAACATGAACCATGTCAGTGTCATCCCAATTGAAGTCAAGTGCATTGAAATTAAGCTTAAATCATGTACTGTACATATGTGGAATTTTCCAATGTATTTTTAAATAAAAATATAATTTGGAATTTTTTATCTTAGATTTCTTAAAGTAATTTACAGTTCGCCAATTATTGTTAGTCAATTTTGAATTTTTTTAAAGAAATATTTCCTGAAAATATAATCTATATCCAGGTTCCCTTGTTTATTAACTAAAATTTTCATTCTTAAAGCATTATATGTTACCAGGTCAGTGAAAGGGAAGGGAATTAGATTTAATGTGAACTTATATACAACTTAGGTGAATAGTTTTATTTTTCAAATCTCTGGCCTGTAGCAGTTGATGTGGATATGTCATTTGTTAGTTTAAATTGGTGATATGTATGACAAACTAAGTTTTATAAAGAGGGTTTAAGATGCAGTGTGCTTTGAAAAGAAAGTCAAACGTGTACCAGAGTACTGAAGTTCTTGTTAAGTCTTCCAAAATCTTTGATGCCTAATAATTATTTGTTATTTATATCAGGATAATGAGTAACAGAATAGTTATAGCTTAACATAGGGGAGGACATATCTATTACTGTTTGTCAGGATCAGTGATTACTTTATGACTTTGCACTATGTTCCTAAAATAGACAAGTTTTCATAATATTAGAACTTGTATTCATGTGATATGTAAATAACTTAAAGATGTGTATTTTTCCAAGGTTTTTTTTAAACTTAAGGAAATCTTGTTTTCACGAAGATAATAAAGGAATAAAATAGCAGAAAATACTGTTGTTTCATCAAAAGCCTACTAATTTCTTTGATGTTGAATTACCAACAAACCAGTAAACTCTTTATTTCAAACACTAAAGTTTTTAAAGGTATGTGGATCACTGATGAACCAAAACTGAAATCTTCATAAAAATGAACTGGAAAAGTAGAGTTTGGCAAATTATTTTAGTTGCTGCTTTCATTGCTGTATTAAGAGACAAGTAGGTGGTATAGTACAGAGAAAACCAGACCTAGAAGCAGGAGGGACCCTAGTTCAAAAATCCAGCCTTAGACACTCATGAGCAAGTCATTTAACCTTTGCCTCAATTTCCTCATCTGTAAAATGAGTATAATAATAGCAAAATGAAATAGAATTTGTAACATACTTTGCAAACCTTAAAGCACTATATAAATGCTATATATAAATTATTATTATTATTATTGTTATAGAAAGTGATGCAGTAAGGCATTGTTTCAGCAATTAATAGCTTTCTGGGTATTTCCTATATTTCTTTCCCTATCCTGGGTTAAGTGGTGAGCAGCAAAATGTTGAACTTTCTACCTTTTTTTTTTTTTTTTAAGGCTTGTCCTTTGGATAGAGTTATATTTTATTATTACCTTCTCTGTAGTTCTTCCTTACCTTAAAACACACACACACACAACACACACATCCAGACTTCCAAAGGAAAAGAACATGAACAAGTTGGACTTTTGACAGTAGAACTATATAGATGACCTCTCATCATTCTAGTTTCATAGTGGGTTTTTCTAACTAGGTTTACATACTGAGGAAATCATGAAAAAATTGTGGTTAGCCAGCAAAAGTAACAATTTAGAAGCATTACAATAAGTTGACTTCAGATAGAAGATATTAGGAAGGGGAATGCTAACACATTATATAGTGTTGTAAGGTTATATGTTATATAAAAGGATTTTATGTACTCAACATGCTGCTTATTGCTGTAGATAATGGGTTGGCAACCTTTTGTGTGATAAAATGTTAACTTCTGATGTTTACTAGCTCTTTACTTTCCTCTGACTGACTTTTAGGTGATCTGACCCAACTTGGAGCACAACTGAACCCCTGGACCATAAATATTGACATTACTTTGTGTTGCACTGCCAAATTTTGGTTGATTTTAAATCTAATTCAGTTAGAGAACTGTAGAGCTGAACTGTAAGATAGCACAGGGCTAGGGGTAGGTTTGAGAGGCACATTTTGTCTTCATTCTCTCTGTTCACATACCATGTACGTTACCTTGCCTGGGTATTTTTTTTTCAATAGGATATCATTTACACATAGGTGGGATGTGTGAGAGAAGTATTTGTTAGTCTAAGCACAGATGGTATATGTATATTTTGAGTATATGTTAGGGAGAAAAGGGGGTTTGGACCAATTTGTAAAATATCTTAAGCTCATGTACCATATTGCCTGTGTAACTTGAGTCCAAATCTTCAGATTACCTTAAGTTTTCATGCAGCTCTTTAAAACTTTTTACATCTATAAAAAGACCATATGATTCAGATGTTTGTAATGACAGTGCTACCGCATTGATTCTATCATTTTACAAATGTGAGTATAGCAGTTTGAAGGAAAAGGTTTTTTCTATACAAATTAAGTCCTCAAGCAGTAAACCAAACTCAGGAAATATAGCCACCATTAAAGGCTTTAAGCAATATTTACTTATTCTATGTTTTTGTGAAAGTAAGAAACCATAAAAACAAATCAAAATCACATGGTTTGTAAGACTAGAAGGAAAATCGTTTTTATCTACAGGTATACTTAACAAGAATTTATTTTGTCCATGTTTAATACACTAAAACCCCAAAATGTCTTCTTGTTTTCCTTTTTCTCACTAGTAGATTAGATCTTTTTTAGAATCTTATAGGCTGAAGTTTGTAAGAGTAGATGTTGCTTTTCCCAGGTACTAAGAATAGAGTAGACACCTTCCTTGTGTCTTTGGAAAGTAGTTGGTCCTGGTATTTTGATTTTTGAAAGTAGGATATTTTAGCCATAGAAGTGAAATTGATATACCAGGAATCCTGTTTACCCCCAGCCAGTATAGCCAGAGGCTCTGTTTATACTTATATCCATATATTCCAACCTTCAGGAGAAGAATCCACTGAAATCCTTGTACAAATTCCTTGCCCAGTGTCACGTTATCAATTATATCTTAGCTGGACTTGATGCTTAAAGAAGGCAATGCTATATTGTGAGAATCCTTTATTCACATTAGGATTTTACGTTTCTATTAAATATTGAGGTGGCACCAATCTATGAAATATTCAATGGCTTAACCAGATAGTACATCAGATTGCATTTAGCAGACATCCAGTAAATGTTGAATTGAACTAAACTGCTGTACCTAGTACTCCAGACAGTATGGAAAGACAATAATGTCTGTTGTCTTAAGAATGAACCTAGCTGAGTTTAGAGAAGACCCATCACCAGTTTGGCAATAGGGTGAAAATCATTTATTATATTATTTGTTAAAGACCTATCTCCTAAAAGCTGTAGTACTCAATTGACATGATTGTTGAGGGGCTCAAAGGAGATAATGACTATAAAGCTCCTTTCCAAGCCTTAAAGCACTATATAATTGTCAGTTCTTGTAATCTAGACGTCATTGAAAGGAGTGCTTATCCACAATGAATTAATGGGTTCTTGAAGTATAAAGTCACCAGCAATTATTTGAGGAGTTCTGGGAATGACCTAGTGTTGCACATAAAGCTGCTTCCCTCCATTTTCTACCTATTCCCAGAAGTGGAGTAGTCAAAAATGAAGATTTGGAAACAGGTAATCACATTCTTTAGCACTCTGGAAACAGAAGGCAGTAGTGTTCATAGTGACAAATCATAGGATCACAAATTTATCACAGGGTCATTAGAGGCCATCAATCTCCTCTGTTTTTCCTTGGTAGGACTTTGACCTAACTTGATCAAAGTTTTCCAGTTCCCTAGAGTGAGCTTTTAGGCAAAGGCCTTCTTGGTATTTCTCTTAGGCTAATTAAAAGTCTGAAGTTTTAATGGATAGTCAAATGCTGGGTTTTTGTAGGAGACAAGATGTGTATCATATTGTTCTATATGTCTTGTTTTGCACTTCTTATAAAGGCACACAGACAGTATAAAGGTGCTAAGTAAAAGTAGTCCACTTGTGCTGCACAGGCCTGCAAAAATGAATAAGAAACTTGGCTTTGTTGTAAATGTGGTGCATGCTTTTCTCCATTCACTTGTTCTGGTTAGACTCAGACCTGCTTTGTTAGATGCCAACACACACACATTGTATGTCGTACTTGGTGAGAGCCCATGCAAGGGGTGCTCCCTGGCTATGGCATAGATCTCTTTCAGCACTGTCTGTTTCTCTGCTCTGTCTTCAGGGTGGTAGATAAGCTGATACATTCGCACCACTGAATTGGGTGCACACCAGTGGATGAGTGCGGATGTATCAGTGGTCTCAGACACCTCTTGGAGTTTAGGTGGGTCTGGGATAGTGTCTTCTCCACTGAGGCCAGGGCACCGACACCGTGATGATTTCTGTAGTATATCACATGGAGTTTGGAGATGCTTACAAGGATGATAATCACAGAGGTTATCTTGCTTAAGCACATCCTTCCTATCCTCCTCCACCTTCTCCTCGTCACTGTAGTCATCCAGCATGTAGATTGGAATCCCTATGACTGAAGCACTTGGCTGATGTCCCTCAGTGGTGTTCTGTGCCCTTTGATAGGTCTGGGGAGTGTTTACCATGTGTGGAAGAGAGGGGATCCTGGGGTGCTTCCTAGGGAATGGGGTAGAGGCTGAAGTAGATACTGAGATACCCGGTCCAATAGTAGATTGATTAATGGCATTTTCTTCCCTTAGTTTTGTTGGAGCTGTTCTTCCAGCCCTGGGTGGAATGGCTAAGTCACCAGGACCTACTGTAGGGACTGTTGTAGGGATGATTGCTATCTTTCCAACACTTGGAGTAGGCAAAGCAAGTTTCAGTGTATTAGAGGTAGCTTTCTTGCTCAGGATGGAATTTTCCTTGGTAGTGTTTGGAAATGCTGTGGGCTCTGTTTTGTGGAAATTGAAAGAAGCCAGTGTCATTGGTTGATTTGATCCACTTAATGGTTTGTTAGAGGAATTGTTATCCGCACTGCTTTCCACGGAAGGAGGGCTTGATATGATAAAGGTTGCCTTTCTTTTAGAAAGACACATGCTGTACAGCTGGGAGAGGGAAAGAGAGGACAAAAATGTACTCTTGGGGTCTTCAGCTGGAGTACAAATAGTGTCGTTGGACCTAGGAGAGTGAGACAAACCAGTTAGAGAACACTTGATATCTAAGAGCCCCTTTTAGCACCACTATTGTTTTGTTAAGTTCTGTCCTTCTCTGAAGGTCCTACTCTGATGGATAATCATTCAGACATGGAAGTGACCCAGATTTCTCAAAGGCTGTGCCAAAAAATGCAAGTTCTGGCAAATCCTAAAAAATTGGAATGGCCTCCAGGATGGGATAAGTGATAGGACTCTTGTTGCCCAGAGATTAGCTTCTCAAAGTTCAGAAGGGTTCATCACTGGGATGCTGCAAAGTGATAAATTTTTTGGCAGCTCCTGAAGACCATCCACAAAATCATACTTTTCCCAATTACTGGAACATCAAGAAATCCTTCCTTTTTTACTTCATATTTATTTTACATATATTTTGCATATACTTAGATTTGTACACATCTCCCCTGATTGCAATATAAGCTCCTTGAAAGAAGGAACTTTGACTTTTGGTTTTGGATTCCCATCCCCTAACAGTGTTTCTGTAGTGTTGAATGAATGCTTGTAGATTGATAGAGCAGCTACCATCTATGTTGGTGGAAGGAATTTGCACACTGACAAAATTCCAGATCCTTCAAGTAAGGAATGAAGCCCTTTGTAAAATATCCTTAATTAAATTAAGCTTTTTAGCTACTATTTGATCCTAGCAGAATAATTAACCTTTGCATAACCCTATCTCAGAATTTCTTGTTAACACTCAGTGGTAATTAAACTTACGCAGTTTGGGTGTCCTATATCCCAATTCAGTACTCTTAGTCTGGAGCAAGAAATTATAGTATTCGTGTTTGTGGATTAAGTAGTCCTGGGATTTGGGACAGTTGAGGAATCATCCTAATAAAGGCACTGAATAATTCCTAAGTAAAATGTCCATCAGAATAAGTCATTTAGCATATAGACTATTGTTGAAGGGTTATATGGGCTCCACATTTGAATAGGATGCATTGATGCTATGAGCATTCTGGGGGTCCTACTTTCTCTTCATAATTGGACAGTGATATCAGAAAAACAGTGACAAAGGACCATGTTGATGCCTTACTCCAGAGAAATAATCAAAATTCTTCTATGCTATTTAACACTAAGATCCTAGGTAGAACACCACAAATAGAGCATAAAGTAGCAATAACAATAGGAAATGCAGAAATAATTTGTGTAAGAGCTATTAGTAAAGAGTAAGTCTTACCTGAGGCCCCCTACAACAAAATCCTTCTTTCCAATGAAATAATGAGCCAGTTACCTGCTGAGGACCACTTTGTCTGTGTTAGAGAGGAGCCAAGACAAGTCACAGCTGCAAATTAAAGGATTGCCATACAGGTTGATGAAAATGACCTGGGAGGAATCCAGAGTCCAAGGTTGGAAGGAACTCAAGTTGCAGCTGAAGTACAAAAAGGAAAGGATAAGAGAAAGAGGGGCTAGGTATAAATTATGTCAGATAGTTTTATTGTGGTTATTATTACAAGGGTAATAGAAAATGAATTGGATCAGCAGACGAGAGAGTTGGATCCTGGGCCCACTTCTACCATTAACTGGCTATGATCCTCAAGTCACTTAGTACCTTTGTGTCTTGCTTTTTACCTCCGTCAAATAACCATTGCTTACCTCAGAGGCTTCTGGTGAGAATCAAATGACATATCTGGGAAAAGCACTTTAAGAACAATAAAGCACAATAAATTATCATGGAATGAGCACTCAAATTTGTGGTTAACAAGGATTGAGAACCTACACTATCCCAGATGATGACCTCTAACACTAATATTTCCCTGTCATTTTAGAAATGTTATCCTAGATTAACAATAGTAGTTAACCCTACTTTTTTTTTTAAATCCCTTAGAGTTTCTTAGGGTCAAGTCATCCTACCAATTGCACACACTTGGACATTGTATGTGTGTGTGGGTGTGGGTATGTGTGGGGGTGGGGGGGTGTTAAGGGGGAGAGACACAGACAGCGAGAGACTATATCCTTAGAAGATGGCAAAAATGTAGAAAGGAGGAATTTAGGACTGATGTCAAGAGCTATCTCTAGTCTCAATAATTTTTACTTTACAAAGTGGCAAGCACATTTCCCAATCTCTCCAGAGATAAGCTCAAGATCTCTAGCAATGTATTAAGCAAGTGGAAGAGAGAGAACTCTGATCATGACTTAATTTTGTTCTAATTTTTTATATTCTTTTACTCAAAATTATTACTATCAGCCCACTGAAAGGCGTTTTAGATTGACCTCTGAAAGTATCCTTGGCCTCACTAAACTAACTCTGGGTTTTGTTTTTATCTTGTGTTTTCCCTGTTTTGTTTAATTATACCATCTCATCCCAACATTCTTGTACACATTAATCATTAAACTGAGCTTCTAGAGCAATGTAAAAAGGGGAAAGGTTACAAAAAGGTCAGCCTCCAGCTTTCAGGTGGGGTATGAAACTGAAAGAGTTCATCTACTTTTCGTTGGACATTAATGGGATAATTGTCTTCATGTGAACCTTAGGATTTTTTTTTTTTAGCATCACCTGGCAATCTGCTGCAAGTTATGATTGAAAGCAGGGTAATGTTTTGAAAAGTACACTGGATCTGGAGTCACAGAACCTGAATTTAAATCTCAGCTTACACAAGTCTCTTAACCTCTTCCCAGCCCCAATATTCTCAGTGGCGAAGGGGTTTGATGAGTTGGGTGAACTAGGAGTGCCCTTTGAGCTCTAAACTCTGTGATTATCTTGGAACAAAACGTCATAGTAACATTCATCAAAAATGAGTATTGTTCAAGTCGACATGATATAATGGAAGAGTGCAGGATCTGGGTGAGAAGACCTGGGTTTGAATCCCAATTCTGCCACTTACTACTAGTGTGATCTTGAGATCTCAGTTTTCTCATCTTTAAAACGAAGAGGACTAGATGACCTTAAAGGCATCTTCTAGCTCCAAATCTATGAACATAGAATCCTCAGCAATACTCTTTCATGGGCCAGGACAATTTTCCCAAATAGCTGTGGCTTAGTAATGACTGCTTATAGACTGGAATAGCAGTAACAGTTTTCTCCTAGGGTTGGTGGAGTTGCTTGAAATAATGTGGATAAGTGGGAACTTTGCTGACAGTCCAGCTAGTTCAATTCAATTCACTTTAATAAGCTTTTATTTAGTGCCTATTATGTATAAGTTACCATGCATTTTACTGGCCAGTGACATGCCTTTTTTTTTTTAAAGGAAAAGAATGTTCCACTTATTTTGACTCAAATCTAGCTCTTCCTACTGAAAATCCTTTGCATTTTTAGTAATGTAAAAGACATAAACAAGGTCTCTAATCTGCTTATCAACTGTCTTGTCAATATATTTGGAGAAGAGGAGAAAAGGGAAACAGCATGAATTACTGTCATACTATATACCAGGCACAAATATCTCATTTGATTCTTAATCCTGTGAAGTAGGTGCTATTATTATTCCAATTTTAGAATTCAGGAAACTGAAGCAGACAGAGGTTAAGTGACTTGCCCAGGGTCACACAGCTAGTAAGTATCTGAGGCAGGATTTGAACTCCCATCTTCCTGATTCCAGGCCCAGCACAGAACCAAGTGGTTCTGACTCTAGGACCAGCACTCTATCCATGGCACCACCCAACTGCCTCCATTTCAGTTGATTCTTCAGACAGTCTCACAGGTTTTAGCCTGGGCCAGGGTTTAGGATAACTCTGGCCAGAATCAGACCTCAGCAAAATTATAAAATTTTTCTTTAGCACCTCCTTTTCAGAGCATTCTTCCCTGCCAGTTCCCCAAATGATGCCCCACTGCCTGCTATTCTCTGGTGATTGGTGACAAAACTAGACTTGCTCCTAGGCAAAATATAACCAGGTGCATCCTTCCCTCACATCAAAATGGAAACAACTGGTGGAAAGTGCACTGAATTTAGTATCAAAAACAAAATGGATGAAAAATGCATATTGACCTGTATTAGGATAGAAAGCCCATTAAAATAATGCATTAATATGTACAACCTTGAGAGGTACTACAAATGCGCAATTAAGCCTAGAATTTAGTAGAAATGGATCAAGCTAGATCACATTTGGAAAAAGTGCACGGTGCTTTCAGTGTTTGCTAACTATTGTGTACAACAAAAGCCTTCCTTTTTACACCAATATTCTCCCAATAATGGAACACCTTATCTCAGGAGAAATAAAATTTCAAATAGCCCACAAGCAAGTGGAAAAAATTATGTAGGCTGTAGCAAATTACTTAGCATTATGTGTTGGAGAACTGGCATAATACTAAGGACATATATGACCAGAAAAGGAGGGATGGGGTAAATAATGTCACAAAAATATGTGACTAGATAGACAGCTTAATTGTTGCACAGGTTTGGAAGAATAGAGGCATTGCTCCAGGGCAGTGTAGGGAATTACCAGTGTGGGAATTCCTCAGTCTGACACAGGTGACAACACATCTGTGATCTCATGGCTCAGTGCCAGTGACTTGCCTGAGGCACAGAAAGGTCAAATGACTCTCCCAGAGCCCTGTAGGTAAGAATCAAAGGAGAGACTTGAATTTGGATAATCCTGACTCCAAGTCTATTCCAGCTGCCTCTTGTACTAACACCTCTGAAATAGAAAAAAGAATCAGGGGAAGGCCTGTAGTACTTTGGGCATATCTTCTGTGCTATACAATATGGACAAGAATCCTACAGAACGAAAAGTCATGGAGAGGCTGTGACCTGCATCAGTGGAGGGACTACAAGCCGGTGAAAATACATCTCATCAGTCCAACAAAGTAGAAGAAAAACCATTAAAAATGTATCTGTTCTTAGTTCTGTTCCCTCAGGACCCTCCTCTCTTCCCCTAATATCTTAGCATAAAATGTAGGTTACTGTATTGTCCCTATGAAGTAACAGCTAATGAGCCTCCAGAAGACCATATACAAACACCCACAAATAAGTTACTGTAATTACTGGAATACTGGGTGTTTTTACTGAGAAAAACAAGGAGGCTTTTTTTTTCAACAAGGGAAAGGGAAATCTGGTTCAGCAGTCACTTCCTATATACATATATAACTAGTACCAATCTCAGACCTGGCCATTCCTTTTTACCCTTCCTCAGATTCATGGCCCCTTCTCCCCTTCTTTCCCCTTGTTGGCACGTGCTCTGTTTCTAGTTTTTCATAGTTTCTGGCCTCTGAATTCCCCATAGTTTCAATTTTCTCTCCCCAAACTACTCCTTGCTCAGTCATCATGGATGCTTTCTTCTCATGTGTGGTACCAGGTACTGAAAGCTTCTACATCAACACTCCCACACATTCCAAGGTATGGGGCTGCCAAACCAGAACTGTACATTCCCATACAGGAGAACTGGAAACCTTACCCTACCATGCTATTTCTAAGTCAGAATTCAACAATGACCCTGAAAGCTATGCTGTCAGAAGCTAAAATAAACCTCAAAATAAATCTTTATGCAAGCTCAGGCTAAGATTTCAGATTCCAGCTGCTACATACATATCTATGCCTTTACCAGGCTGTGATTCCCTTTCTAGACTTAACGACAAAGATGGATAGCTTGGATTGGCTTTGGTTTCCAGTGGGGCTTGTCTCGATAAAGGGATGTCACAGTATGGGAACTATTCTTCTGGATATGGTTGACAGCCCACGGAGGCAACTACTGCCTATGTGGTGTAATCCGTGAGACCTGTGAAGGCTCACTTGCCCACAAATAATCTCACCAATTCCGGGGTCATAATGTCTCATATTCCCCCCATCAGTGATTTTTTCCTTTGAGTTAAGTGTCTCTCCAGGTTCTTCTTTTAAAATAAAAAGGTCTCAAAATAGAAAGAAAAGGTTAATTAATTAATTTCCTCACTCTTTTTTGTGGATGCCACGATAACCCGAGATACTGATGTGTCCATAAAAATAACTTGGCATAAATGAAAGGTATTAAATCATTAATGCCTTAAGATTTCACAAATGCAGACACACAAACACAAAGCATATGGATCTGAGATTGCTCTGAGAAACACTTACTTTTGGAGGAGAAGAGACTGCAAATGAGGAGTATCTTCAAATATTTCTGTTTTCACAAAACTCAGGGCTTGAGAGTCTTGACAATCCAGTACTTTTAGGTTAGGTGTAGCCTTGAATATTTCCCCATCGAGGCTTTTCAGTCTTGCCATCCTCTTTAGGTAGAGGAACCTGAGGTTTGGTATGTCTCTGATCCATCCTAGCCGGACTGAAACACCGAGGAAAAACTATTGACCATATAAAGGGAAGCAAAAGGGTACAGCCACTAAAAAGGACTTAGTTTCATTAAAAATAACAATAAGACAACATTGACGAATGGTATAATTTCATGAATGTGACAGCTTAATTAGAACTTTGAAGTGAAACTCAAAAGACTACATTCTAGATTCCTTAGTCATTAGTCTAGAATCTCAACTAGAAAATATGGCTTATGAGAAGGACTGGATCCAGAAATGAAAGACTATCACGTTTCATTGACCCATTTAACTGGAATCTAGTCCAACATCATCATCAGAATAATAGGCTCATCATAGACCTAGAGCTGAAAGAGACATAGAGGTTATCTAGTCCAAACCCCTTCATTCTACTGAGGAAGAAATTGAGGTGAAGTGACTTGTCCAAAGTCACACAGGCAGTAAATAGCAGTGCCAGAATTCAAAGCCATGTCCTCTGATTCCAAATCCAGCCCCATTTACCTGAGGTGAAACTGAGGCTCAGACAGGTTACTTGCTAAATGTTACTCTGCTAGTAAAGAGAAGTCAGGACTGGGACCTAGATCTTCTGACCTCCAGCCCAGTGTCTTTCCCCTTACATCATAAAAAGAAAACTAAAGAATAATCAAACCCATCACAGTTCTCTCAAGTAGTTAATAATGTGCAGATATGAAATAGAACAGGGTAATTAGTGGGAGTAAAGGAATACTGTTAGGCAAACTATTTTTTTTTTACTTTTTGATTGATTTTATTTTATGACTTCCCTACAAAACCAAAAACTTCACCTTCTGAGTTCCATTCTATTTCCTAAATTTTCTTGCTTCTCTCAAGTGGGATTTATGATGGAAAAATTCTGCTTTCCTTGAAATTAATTTGTATCAGTAATGATAACAACAATAATGGGCATTTATTTTGTGCTTTAAAGTCTGCAAAATATTTTACTTATGTTATTTCATTTAACCCTCATAAGAACCCTATGTTGTTATTTTTGTTGTTATTCAGTTGTGTTCAACTCTTTGTGACCCCATTTGGGGTTTTCTTGGCAAAGATACTGAAATGGTTTGCCATTTTCTCTGGCTTCTCTGGCTCATTTCACAGATATAGAAACTAAGGCAAATAGGGTTAAGTGATTTGCCCAGAGTCACACAGCTTTTTCTGAGGTTGCATTGGAACTCAGGTCTTCCTGACACCAGGCCTGATGCTCTATCTACTGCACCACCTAATTGCCCCCAAAACCCTGTGAGCTATGCACAATTATCCCCATTTAACGGATGAGAAAATCTAAGGCAAAGAAAAGTAAAGTGACTTGCAGTCAGATGGTAAATGTCTGAGGTGATATCTGAACCCAAGTCTTCCTGACTCCAAGTCCAGTGTTCTCTTTTTCTAGTAGGCCAACTAAACAAGGAGGTATGGGAAAGGACTGGCCTTCCAGTGATCTGAACCCAGAATGTACAAACCTGGCACTTGAGTCTATCAAATCCATCAATTAATAATTATTTCCTGAGAACCTACTAAATTTCAAGCAATTACTATATGTATTTATCTATGTATGCATATGTATATATTCCTAAGACTGCATCAGTTACTATTATTCACTAAAAAACCAATGTTGTGCTATGCTTTCCTCTTCATTCCCTTGTGACACCACACACACACACACACACACACACGTATATACTTTTATGTTCATATATATATATATACATATTATATATGTCCATGTATACATGTGTTTATATACACATAAAAACACATGTATGGAATCTTCCTGAATCCAAGGCCAGCCCTCTAGCTATGATGCCACTCTGGCTACTTGTTTCTCAAGCACGGAAGATATGAATACAAAAGTGTGTGTATATATGTATGTGTGCATATATATGTATATACACACACTTATGTACATGCACAGATATATAGGTGTATGTGTATATGAATATAATTATAATTATACATAAATAAATATATGAGTCTATATAATGATATGTATAAGTATATACTTATATTCTATATACATATATTTCTGCATGTGTATAATATACACATATACAATATATTAAATATAAATATATACTTCTACACATATACATATAACCAAATCCACACACACCATACTACAGAGAGAGAGAGAGAGAGAGAGAGAGAGAGAGAGAGAGAGAGAGAGAGTACATGAGTGTATACTTTTGTAGTCACAACTTTGCTTGAAAGCCACAGTGGCATCATGGGGAGAGGTCTGGCCTTGGGAGTCAGGAAGACCCAAGTTCACGTTCTGCCTCAGACATACACTGGCCATGTGACTGTGGGAAAAGTCATTTCACTTCTCAATGCTCCCCAAAGTTACCTAAGTTGCAGATGAGGAGCATCGGTAAAAAGGATTTTTACACCCCAGAAATTCCCCTTTATAATGTTTATTGTTAAAATCCAAGGCCCATTCCCAGAAAATTCTTCTGACTTACTTTCTGGAAGAAAAGTCCCACTGAGATCCAACACTTCCATGGTATGCATAGGAGTCTTTTCTCTAACTTGGCCTAATATTCTTTGAGCAAAGGCTGACTCTTGAATTCCTTCTTGGTCGTTTTTCCCCAACAGGGTAACCGACAGGTTAAGGAAGTGTAGGGATGGAAAGCAGGAAAATGCCCCAGGGTGGATTTCCAGAATAGGATTTCCCACAAGCGAGAGCCATGTCAGGTTTTGCAACACCACGGTTTGGCAGCTGGGCATGGATGAGAGCTTGTTGTAGCTTAGGTCCAGAGTTTCAAGGCTCTCAAAGACAGGAGTTTCCCCGAAGTGAAGCTCTTGGATCAAGTTGTTCCTCAAGATGAGCACTTGAAGGCTGGAGAGGTCCCTCAGGTCCTGATCTCTCAGCTCCTTGAGCTGGTTGCTGCTTAGGTCTAAGCTCTGTAGTGTCCGTGGCAGACAGGGAGGGATGCTTTCAAGGCTTCTGTTCGCTAGAAACAAGGTGGCTGTTGTCTTGTTGAACTCCTCGCAAGATAAGCTAGACAGATTGAGATTGTCCTCCCAGGGACCAAGCTGGGCAACTTGAAAGACAGTTACTGTTGCCTTTGGCTTGACAGTACCTTCTTTGCTTGGTGGGCTGTCGGGGGCTGCCCAGCCCAGCTCCATCATGGAAAGCAGCATCAAGACCCACATTCTGTGCCTCCAAGGACAGACCTTGGTGGGGGGAACAAAGGCCATCAGAAGGCTTAGCAAACGCAATTGCTGTTCCGTGCCCAGAAGCAGTTTCTAAGTCAAAGGCTGGGGTGGTTTTTCCTACTATGGTTACTTAGAAGCAGGGGATGTAGATGGGTTTTTACTGGAATGAAAACCAACTCTTCTAAAAACCTAGAGGAAGCTATAACCTTAGAAAAGCCTGGGATATTTTGACATGTGGCACGTCAGACCTTAAAGACCCCCGAGGTCAACACCCTCCTAATAATCCCTGAGGACCCAATGTATCACGCTACGACATTAAGCTGGCGCTGCTGGGCTCAAAAAGTGGGGCTTGAAAACTTGATAAATCCCAGCTGAGATCCTTTTCCTGCAGGAGGGGATGGGGAGAGAAACCATGAGCTAAATATCAGGGTCTCTGGGAACGCAGTCTATTTAAAAAAAGAAAAAGATATTTGCTTAAAAATTATGAGTTTGACAAACATCAACAAACACAAACATACACAAAACAAAATAAAACAGGATTGAATATGAAACTGCGTTTCTATTATGTACAGTTTGATTTTTTTTTTCAAGGTATATAATACATTTAACTTGTTAGCATCAACTCTATCCTGTTTACCCTCTGTCTCCTGAGTGTCTCTTCTGGGTGATTTTTAAAATGTTACACTGTTGTTCTTTTTTGGCATCACTATCTCTTCTCTCCTATCTCCTGTCCCCACCTTCACTCCCCAAAAAAACCCTTCTTTGTAGAACCCAATCTATTTTTATTATGGTGCTACTTAAAGAGTCCCTTTGGCTCCCATTTTAACACTGGGGTTCCTTCCTACATTATGTGTCTCAGGCTTCACTTCTGTAAGATGAAGAAAGGATTCTAGAGGCAGCTGAACCCAACCCTCCCAGGGAACACAGACACCCTGAGGAAAGCCTTTACTTCCTTGTCTCAGTCTCTGAGGGATGGGTTTAGAACTTCTGTGAGAAGAAATCAACACATCAGTGTCACAGGTACTTCTTTAAGATGAGCAGTTTAAATATCATCATAATAATTAACATGTACAGAACTCTCTAAGGTTTGAAAAAGACCTTATGTATGTTAACTCATTTTAGCCTCAGAACACTGGGAGATAGGTGCTATTATCCCCATTTTAAAGATAAGAAAACTGAGGCTAAGTGACTAGCTCAGAGTCACACTGGCAAGATTTGAACTTAGATCTTTCTGACTCTAAGGCTAGCACTTTATCCACTGTACCACTTAGCCACCTAACTACAGAGAGTCTGGGAAATACACTGATTCGCTCAATGCTAGAGGAACAGCAAGCTACAGTAGATAAGGTACTTGGCCTTAGAGTCAGGAATATGGGAGTTCCATTCCTGCCTCCAACACTTCAATCACTCAATCAGTCAGTAAATATTTATTAAGCACCTGCTGTGCCAGGCATTTTGCTAAGCTTTGGCATTTGAAAATTATGTGACTAAGGGTAAACCCCTTAATCTCTGTGAGCCTCTATTTGCTTCTCTATTAAATGGGTATAGACCTCAGCGAGTCAATCCAATGAGACGATGTCTCCAAAATGCTTTGCAAATTGTACTGTGCTATATAAATGTCAGTAATTATTAAGGTGGGGGAGCAAAGAATCCCCTGGCATATGGGCTTTTGAAGCTAGCTATTTCCTCAGTCCTTCTATCAATAACTGCACTAGCTCACAATTAATGCTATTGATTGTGCCCCCAGCCACTTTCTCTGTTGCTCACTGGAAAGCCTGAGACATGAGTTCTGGTCCCAGCCATACATCTAATTACACTTCTGACTCTAGGAAAGCCAGTTCCACTTTCTGGGCCTCAGTTTCGTCCTCCACAAAATGAGGAAGCTAGGCTGGTGATTCCTAAGGTCCCTCCCAGTTTCTACACAACACAACCGTGATTCTGAAAATTCCTGATCTTGAAAACGGGAGCAGGATGGGGGTGAGCTTCAAGAAAGAGTTCATTCACTTCGTACTCACCAGGCAGGCACCTTTTGAAGGATGTAGCCCTCCAGTCCTCCTCAGATTCCCTCGGCTCCTTTTTTTTTTTTTTTTTGACAAAGGACTTGTGAGTCAGCCAGCAGCTTTGCTCACAGCCCCAGTGGCAGCTCTTCCCTATTCCCCCCCATCCACGTCCTTTCTGCCCCTCTACCCATGGTTAGGGGCAGAGCTTACTGCAGCCCTCCTGAGCCCCTCCTCCTCCTCCTCCTTCTGGTCCTCCTCCCTCACTGAGCTTTTGCAGTTATTAGCTTCTCTCCTTTACCCATTGGCCCCTCCCCACCCTCCTCTAGGGCGAGCTCCTTTCTGAGCCTGTTACAGCTTCCCAGGCTCTTTTGCTTTTTACGTGGCCTGAACCCCTGGGAGTGAACTATGGAAGGTCCCTGCTCTCTCAGGATCGGGGTTAACAAGGGTCAATGGGGCTGGGTGGTCAGGCAACAGCAGCTTCATCATCATTTCTCAGGAATCTGCTCCACCTAGACTTTTCCCATGCCAGGTTGGTTGCTATTTCTGTGGAAGTTTAATGATGAGAAGAGAAAAAACTCTCTCCCTTTTTACCCAAGGCAGGACAGCCAAATGTCAATCCTGAATGACCTCTGTGACCATTTATGTTCAGTAAAATCTAGTGACCAGTGCAAGCCTAAAACAGATTGCAAGAACATAATGAGAGCCCCCCCTCAGAAGTGTCTTCTGCACAGTCAGCTCTGGGCAAATAGTTGACACCTAAAAAATACTTGTTGATTGATTTGGTTACGTGCAAAGTGGGATGAGGAAAAAGGAGAAAGGAAAAAATTAAGAGAGCTCTGTTCAGAAAGGCCTTCGGTTACTCTCAAAAGCAGGGATGATAAAAGAGATTAATCAATTGTGTCCTGTTTTCAGCATACACGCTCAGATGTTTTGTATTCATTTTGCAGTGGAAATCTGTTTCTAAATGATATAGCCAGATTTCCTTTGTGTTTTATTTCATTATTAATCTACAAGAAATAAACATTTGTGGAATTCCTAAGATCAGTCAATAGTCAATAAACATTTATTAAGCACCTATTACGAGCCAGGCATTATACTAACCACTGGAGACACAAATATGAAAAAAGAAAGTTTTTGCCCTCAAGGAATTTACCATCTAATGGATCGTTCTTGCCACCTAATAAAAAATCACATTAACTTAAACTGGACTAGGTCACATGGGACATGTTTGACAGCGGCATTTGTACACTCTGAGTGCCAGGGAAGTAAAACTGATTTTTTAAAAATTTTATGTTCTTGCTCTTAATTAAATTTACAAGTCATCAAAAAAGAGAGAACAGTTCCATGTAAAAAAAAATGAGGACTATATGTGAAACTGTAAATCCCTATTATATACAGCTTACTTAAAAAGTACAATAAATTCAATGTTACTTTTTTATTTTTGCAAGTATTAATTATCCCTCCCTCCCACTGCTCCTCAAACTGAACAATAAAAGAACCTTCCACTAAATAAGTAATAGAAATAATTCCTTTATTTATAAAAAATAACAGCAAATATGCAAAGCTGTCTTGCTCATTATGTTTCTCTCTGTTCACTTCTGCGCATTCTTTAAAAAATGCTTTGATGACAATCTTTTGTTTCTTTTATTTTTTGTTTTTAGCAATGCTATCTCTAGCTTGAAATGGAGCTAGCTAAACACTAGTTATCACTAGTTTGAAAGGGAGTGTAGTGAAATTATCAAAAAAAATCTTGGCCCCACAGAAGATATATGAAAAGATACCTCTCTGGCTTCTCAGAAGAGGTTAGTGTTTGATGGGTATGAAACATTGCATATAATGTCAGATTATTTTAATGTGTTTATTGGGTTTTAATTAAACAGTTCTGGGCAGAAGAGGGGGAGGAATAGAGAGGAAAATGCAGATAATTAAAGACAAAAGATGTTAATAAAATCTATTTTAAAATAGTAAATTGTTCTCTTGAGTTCTGCTCACTTAACTCTGGATCAGTTCATTCAATCTTTCCAGGTTTGACTGAAGGCATCTTTCATTATTTCTTATAGTGCTAAAATATTCCCTTACGTTCATATACCATTATTTCTTCAATTGTTCCCCAATTAATGAGTAATCCCTTAGCTTCCCATTCTTTGTCACAACAAAGAGAGGTGGTATAAATATTTTTATGCATAAAGGACACTTTCCCCTCTTTGATCTCTTTGGGTTATAGGCTTAGTAGTGGTATCATTAGATCAAAGGATATACAAAGTTTAGTGAATTTTGGGGTATAGTTCCAAATTATTTTTTCCAGAATGGCAGGATAAATTCACAGGCCCACCAAGAGTATATCAACTTGCCTGACTTTTCTAAGCCCCTCCAGTAATGATCATTTTCCATTTTTATCATCTTTGCCCTTCTAATGTGTGTGAGGCAGAAGGTCAGCATTGATAGCTTGAATCTCTTCCTTTCAGAATTGCTTTTTCATATCCTTTGGCTATTTATCTACTGGGGAAAGATGACCATTCCTGCATATTTGAACCAGTTGCTTATGTATCTTGGAAACGAGACCCTTATCAGAAAAACTTATTGCAAAGGTTTTTCCCTTAGTTAACTGTTTTCCCTTCAAATTTTAACTACATTGATTTGTTGGTGCAAAAACTTGACTATATGTAATCAAAATTGTCTCTTTTATCTTCCATGATCCTTTCTATCACTTTTTTTGGTCATGACTTTCCCCCTTCTCCATAGTTGTGAAAGATTTTTTTTTTCCTGGCTCTCCTAATTTTTAAATTATGTGATTCTTAAAAAAAAAATTATGTGATTCTTTCCATCTAGATCATGTATTTAACTTCCCTGTTAGCTTTTATGAAGTGGTGGTTTGGGGTTGTGGGTGTCCTAATCCCCATGACTGCAAGAATTGGAATGTGAAAGATTGAAAGCAACATACTTCTCTGGCACCACATAAGATAAGGAGAAGCAATAAGAGCGCCGTTATGGGAGGAGATGGTACCAGGTTGTAAAGTCTCCGAGTAAAATCCATTACAGAGGAATTTCCAGTGATTGGAATGAAAACATAAAAATATCAAAGTGACACACAGATTAACAGGAAAAATTCTTAAGTGAAGAAATAAACTTGATGTAATTAAAAATGGTACCAATCTGAGACACTCATTATTCAGTTAGGATGTTGCTAAAGATAGGATTTCACCAGGTAAGTTGGCAAAAATGCCCAGTGTTGGCATACAAAAGGTTTAGATTTAAAATGTGAAAAAAGTAGTTGCATTTTATTTTGAATTGTAATCATATGAAGTGATAAGATTAATTTTAAATAAATATATAAGATGTATATGTCCAAAAGCAGGCTTTGCCTCTACTCATACATCAGCAAGAAGGAATTAATTTAAATTATTATTATTCCCCCTTCCTGACTCTTCAGAAAGTGGAAAGAACTGTTTATTCTGGGGACCACTGGAAAGGAGGACTAGGCTAGAAACTAGGATTTAGTTCCAGCTTTGCTATGAACTAGCTGTATGGCCTTGTGTATTTATATCTCTGGGCTTTCACTTACGACTTCTCTGGAATTCATGTTAGTGATCTGTAATGCAGAAATGAGGAAATCTGTAAATGAAGGGGCTGCACTAGATGACCTCTACGGTTCCTTCCTACTGTAATATTCTGTGATTCTGTGAAATGTGTCATCCTTTCCAAAGACATTACCTTCAAGTAAAGGTTCTTAATCTCTTTTGTATCATGGACATTTTTGGAAATCTGGTGAAGTCTGTGGACCACTTCTCAGGAGCAGCTGGTGGATGGAGCACCGGAACTGAAGGCAGAAAGACCTGAGTTCAAGTCCAGTCTCAGACACTTACTAGCTGTGTGACCCTGGGCAAGTCACTTAACCCTGTTTGCCTCAGTTTCCTTATCTGTCAAACGAACTGGAGAAGGAAATGGCAAACCACTCAAGTATCTTTGCCTAGAAAACCATGGTCGTGAAGAGTCAGACATAACTGAAACAACTGAACAATAAGATGGATCACTTCTCTGATGTCTTTAAATGCCTAAATAAAACACGTAGGATTACAAGGGAAGCAGATATATTAAAATGCAGTTATCAAAATTAAAAAAAACCCCTACAAGTTCGCAGACCCCAAGTTAAGAGTCCTTCCCTTCAAGATACATTTTCTTTTGCGTTTTTTTTTTCCTGTAGGTCTGTCTAATGGCTGTACTATTTATAAAGAGAGAAGTCAGGGCAAGAAAACTTCACCTAGCCTAGGAGGAAAAAGAGCTAAGTCTGAGAGGAGGAGGTTCCTCTTGGAGGAGGATGCTTCTTTGCTTATTAAGGGTCTTTCTCTTTGAACTTATTTAAGTGAAAACGTGTGAACTTCTTGTCTGGCTAAATCCTTCTTAACCTGGTCCCTTCCTACCTTTCCAGGCTCACACTTCCCCCTGTAATCCAACTGTTCTGGCCTATCCACCTTGCCTTTATTGCTACTTTCCATCTCTTCACCCTGCACCATTGCCTTGGCTGGACCCCATGTGTGGAGTGTTCCGCTCTGTCCCCTCCAAGAAATCCTCTCCACAGCCCAACTCAATTGCCAGTGCTAGTTCTCCCTTGCTAATTGGCTCTCTTCCCTGCTGACAGAAGTCAGTTTTTTCTGACCTTGAGAGGCATGCCTGACTGGAATGCCCTCAGACTCTTTCAAACTGACTCTCCAGCTGCTGGGTGGAGTGTCTCCCTCTGGGGGAACAGCTCCATTACTCAATGCCTTGGCTTGTATGGGAGCGGGAAGTGGCGATGAGGCGAGAGAAATCTCCTCCTAGCTCTACTCCAAGAGATGAAGAGCAGGCCCTTCATTACTGGTTTTCTCTTTGATTTATCTCATCTGATGGAACTCTTGAACTGCTATACTCTCCAGGGCTTAACTATTTAAAGTCCGGCTGGGGATGGGGGATGTTCATTTTTCTGCACATCCAATAACCTTTCTGCTTTTGGACTCAGAGAGGTGTTCATACTTTGTAATGGGATAACAGGGTTTTTAACTTTTTATCAATACACTAGAACCTCATATTTCATGGGTACATCCTGTGACTTCATTAACTGATCTGGGGGAAATCAGATCTCCTGCTCCCCTTAAAACAAATAGATCTAAAGTCAGATAGCCATGTCTTCTCTACAAAAGTGTTAGTTGGCTATCTTGAGGCAAGTTCAGCAGTGTACCTACTCTAAAACTGCCAGGGTCACAATCCT